ACAAAAACTGCGGGGAACCATGCAAAAAACGCATCTTCGCACGGGCAGCCCGTGCGTTGGCCAATTGTTTTTTCCGAATGAATTACCGCATACACATCGAATAGATGGTGCGTTCTAATTCTAAATGTGCATCCAGGATTGTAGAGCTCGGCATAACTGTGTGAAGACATCTTAGTGATATCATTGAGATAGGATCGCTGTGTTGTTGTCCGAGCGGTATTGGTATTCTTAGTAGTTTTCAGCATGAAAACCCCCTAAATTTACTATTAAAGCGAAGTGTAGCGCGAAATATGTTTGACAAGTTAACGCCGTACTGGAGTTGGTTAACGGCAAAATTGCCCTGATATTCTCGTCCAGTAGGTATAGTTAGCATTCCGTCCAAAGCCACTTGCCTCCTCTTTTTAGCTGCCATTTGCCTAATGCGGGACTTCTCCGTGGTGGTCATTTCCGTTTGCTCAGTGCCGTTACTACTAGTACGCGACATTCACTAGCTGTTAGCGGACGGGGCGAACATCATGTCCTGCTTGCCGGATTTTAGATATGCTTGTGAGAGCGCATTGTCGTCCTGCAGGTCATGCCTTTATCGCGGTATCTTCTTATATGGCCATGAAAGCATTCTTACATGTTTTGCATCTGTACATGGTTTCCTTCAGTATGTTGCACTGGAAAGGGTGGACGCAGTATTTTCGGCCCCTAAATTTACTATTAAACCAGCCAAAGTGATTGGCGGAGTTTAAACTCTGATTGCATCGACGATGCTGTGAAATTTGCGCCAGTCGGTAGTAGCCCGTGAAGTCGCGATTTTCGACTGGAGAGTAACTCTGGACGGGATAGACGCAATTATAAATTTCTTTTAATTCAGAGATGTCCGCCAATCACTTTGGCTGGTAACGCACAGGCACCTTCGTCACCTCTGTTTTCAATTCATTGCTTTTCATACCACAACTTCTCGTTTGTTTCGCAAAGTATCTTTCCGGGACGGCATAAGCAATCAACGTTATGTCTTCATGTGAGAAGCGTACAGTATGCCATTGCGAAGATTTCTGGGAATAAATAGCGTTCGGGCGAAACGTGTTGCTTTACACAGGCATCTTTTGGACGTCGTACTTCAGATATAGTGCCAGCGAAAGAAATCCGCTCGGACGGCCGGAGAGAAGTGCATCTGACGTATTAGCATATTTCAGTGCGCAAATGATTGGAGCAGTCTTACTAATGAAAGTTTATTCGCATTCTTTGTAGGCCACAATGCAAGCAATAGTGAGTACAATTCGCGATGTTATGCAGTACAATTCGTTATTTGCCCAGCAGCTTGGCTTGACTGCAAATCCGTCGAAGAATGTTGTTGACAACCCAATCTATCTGTGCGATTTGGTTGGCTCTCTGGTCAGCGCTGATTCGGATGACCTGCAAAGTTTGATGGAAGAAGAAAGTGTAAGTTAGCTGTGCTCAGCGCGTTCATTTCATCCGTCAGTTTATTCAAGTTCTTCCTGATCCGATTAGTACTGTTAAGTGGGGATATATAGCTCAGGATCTGAAGATCTGAACGTGCCGCGTTGAGTGGCCTGACTGCATTTTAGAATTGGCGGAACTTCACAACTGCACTTCTAGACCAGCAACATGAGACCTTTAGACTTATCTTCATGGTAGCTGGAATAGTCTATAGCTGTGAATGCCCATTTTTGATAGATTTCACTGAAGGACGAAAGAAAAAAAATTTTTCCGAACAAAAGAGTCTGCATTAGCTTCATTGCCTCCATTCATTACTGGTAATCATCAGTTTTAGTTAACTTCTGATTTGCTTTTGCGGCAGTTTTGGTTATATGTTTATCGGTATTTCACGTTTCAGTCAATAAGAAAATTATTATATTTCTTTGTAGAATGAAACATGACCGCGTTTGAGTTGAATTTTTGATTTGTTCAAATCAAGTAAATGAGCCCAAAAACCCGCAGTTACGTGAAATATGATTTAAGCCACAAATTTTTGCCAAAAACACTTTTCTTCCAGCCTTCACTCGTTTATCTCACTGCCATTCCCATATACCGCTCAGTCCCTGAAAAGCGAAGTTGTCACACATTGCTAACTGCAGTTGCACTCTATTGAATGGTCTTTTTTTTCTTTTCCGAATTGCTGGGCAAGCACGCTGAAGAGAGTTCAGGTTCTCGGCATGCTGCACATGCCAGTGTGAATTCACCACTAGAACAAATCACAGAGGGGTTGTTTTTTATGCGTTTTGTGCTGTGAAACAGCAACACAAAACACAGATTATTCACGCCCTTGTCTTTGTGTGTGTATGTGTCCGAGTGCATTTTGTTCCGCACTTTCAGCTGGGGAGCCACAGAATCTAGGAAGCTAAAATCTTAGTAAAATGTTTCTCGCCCAAATAGAACTCCACAGATTTAAAGTTAGCCTTCCCGTGCGCGTGGCTATCACATACGGCTCCGTGAAAGTTTTGACGGCGATAATTATTGTCTCGAGAACCGCGAAAGCTAGAAAGCTGAAATTTTAAGGAAATATCTCCTGCTCACATACGACAGGACAAATTAAACCGAGCTCCCCCTAAGCCCGGGTATCACGTATGGCCCTGTGAGGGTTTCGGCAGGCAAAATTAT